CCCGCCGCCGGCGAACCCCCGGGTGGTTTTAAACGACGGCGCCGATGCGTGCAAGTGACCGAGCACAGCCCCAGGGCCTGCGGGCCGCCGCCGCCCGCCTCTTGAGGAGCGGCCGCCCCGGGTGTTTGCGCCCCGCGGCCCGGGCAGTAACGGCCCGGGGGTCCCAGGAGGTGGTTCCGCCGCGCCCAGGCGGGGAGGGGGGTGGCAGCTGTGCCTTCTCCAGCGGAAAGGAGAGAGGACGGAGGGCGAAAGGCGTCTTCGCTCACCGGTTTTCTTCTAAATGAGTGTATTTGTGGATTCTTGAAAGAGCAGTTTGTTGGTTCGGTGCAAGAACTCTTAAGAGGTTCAAAGCAAACGACGATTAAAAATGCGCGGAGGTCACATCAACGAAAAGTATCACATCAAGCAGCAACAGGGTGTTTTTCTCCGAAAAAAACCCCAAAGCTGCAGCTGGTAATAGCAGTCATTTTTCTATTAATAAATCTGAAAATTGGTGCCGGCTTATCATTATTTAAAAACGTGGGGGAGCAGCACATCTGGCTGCTGCCGATTATTTTCACAAGAGAAAACCACCTAGTGGAAAGCCATTTAGCTAAGTTCTTTGTGTGCTCCCCTCCTGCTCCTTTTTTTTTTAAATAATGCCTTGTGGATTTGTCCCAGCTTTATAACTTTAAAAAGTGAAGTCAAATACCTTGGACATGGTCAAACAGAAAGAGAATGCTATCCTGCACAATGCCACAGAAAAATCACCCAGCAGCTTGAATATTCAAGCTTCATTGTCACAAGCTTGTGTAACCATGACCTGGGAAACCATGCCACACCTGGCCAAGAAATAGATTTAGAAACCTTAGCACACCCTAGGCAATCACAGTCACGCACCAGGACTTTTCACAGATAATAACTCATGGAGCCCTTTGTTATTGTGAAAAGTATCTCTGTTTTAAAGCACCCCCTACTTCCATTTGAGAAGATGTTTCATCTTAAAGCTCCAATGATTCAGGTTTTCTCAAACAGAAGTACTAGCTGCAGCTGCGCTGATCAAACCTGGCACGTATTTCCCAGCCACAAGGAAATAAAGCTAAAAACCTTTTCCTGTTGCGCCTTAGTTTTTCAAACACAATGAAACACAGCTTTCGAAAAGGTACCCTGAACTCACATTCCTGTGGTTTCCAGTGTGCTTACCAGCATGCTGCTTGGCCAGCGAATACAGAAATTACTAGAGACCTAAAAGGCTGCCAAGAGCCATCCTAGGTAGATTTCCTCTTCTCCACCTCCCTTCCGTGACCTACATTCATAACACCTATTACCGTGCAAAGACACTTGGGTTAACGACAGCACGAGCGGACAGGCCCAAGGACCCAGACTGATTTCGCTTTCCTGGTTTTACCTTCTTGGCGATTCTCTCTAAGGGTGGAGCTGTGACATTCAGGCGACTCTCTTGAGATCAGTTTTATTTCACACCAATGGGAATTATGCCTCCATAGGAGCTGCAGCATTGGCCCCGTATCTCACAAAAGCCAGTTGTCTTGCATTACGCTTTTCATGTACCAAAGACATGGCTCTTAACTACAGCGTTTCAGCAAGCAATCATTGTATTAAAACCTCAGGAAAATCCCAGAACACACACTACACATTTAAATGTTAGTTTGCATTAAAGTCTTCGGGAACATCTCGATTCTAAATTGCTGTTTAAAATCTGGGTGCTTCAGGCTTACCATTTCTATCACTTAATGCCAGTCAGAAGCCCCAATAGATAAATGAAATAAATCAACTGCTCCTGGAATCAACAGACACAGTAAAATCTTTTGTATCTTAATTCAGATATATGCACGGATTTTTTATATATACTTTCAATGCAAATCTTCGGGTTTCTCGTTTTCACTTAGGTTTCAGCTACTGCTCTTGTTAAGTCTACTTTGACCATATGAGTAGTAGGAGAAGATCCTCCTTGGAGACCTTCCAAGAAAATCTGTGGTCTGGGTACATTGCTTGAGTTGTCACGCTTAGTCTGGGTGCTGACATCTTTTGGCAAGTACACTTGGGTGGAGTTCTCTCTTCTCATATGGCTGAGATCAGTCTGCATGGCACGGGTTAATTTGCGGCGCAAATTGGCCTAAAGACACAAAAAGAATGAGATTAAGCAAAATTTTGTTTGAACATTTTAGCACTAGTGTATACTTACGTGTCTTTGTATATTTTACATCTATGGGCTTCATAAACCTGGAACGTGGCCCACTTCACCCTGCTATAAATACATGATTGCAACCACCATTTGATAACTTCTGAACTAACAGGATGTGTGAACAGCACTGGAGGTAGCCCACACAATTCTAAGTCAGCCTCTTACTGCTTTCATGTTTTCCTTTGGTTCCTGTGCTTCAAATTTTGTTAAATGTCGGAGCCTTTGTTTTATTAGAATAAAATGTTGTTTTCATGTTAAGCTCTTCCAGTGCTTCAAATTAACTTCAATCAGTCTGAAAGCACACTAAATGAGATGGAAACCTAAAACAAGCTTGAGGATCCCAAATATTGTGGATAATCAAACTACAGGATCAAGCCTTTGTCTGGTTTCAGACCAAACGTGATGAGGTTTAGTTGCTGGTGTCACAAAGCACCAGACAGAAGGGAAAAAATGCCTTCCTTCACGACATTGCTTATGAACCCCTTGGCAAGGGGCAAAAGGTAAGGTAATTTATGATTAAAGCTCTGTTTAATCACAGAAACTGCTGTAGATACAACAACAAAACCACTTCTCTCAAAGTGTTACTATTACAAAGCACTTGAAACAACAAAATGCTCCTTATTTCACTGAGCCTCCTATGTCAGCAATGATGTAAAACACTGTAAATCATATGACATAATGTTGTCATCGAAATATACAAAATACAGTCTCATGTGGTGGGATCCAGACCCTTACATGTAAGTGAGAAAGTAAGTCCCTGGAGTCCAGTCCAGTCAGCAGAGACTGGAGTCAGTGGAAGCTGGAGCGTGATTAAGTTGGACAAATTTGGTGTTCATATCAGGGTGAGTCAAAATATTCTCCAGACTCCACTAGCTAGGTCTCTCTCAGCTGGAATGGAAGTTGAAGCACGTATCTGTAGCTGCATTTTGGTATCTTAATCTACAACTGAATCTTAGGCACAGTGTCATCAAGGAAAATACAGAAAAGAACAGTAAGGAACTTACAGAAAAGACAGCATGGAAAGAAAGACAATATTTTAGTCTTTTTTTCTGAGGGTTTTGATGACAATTAAAACAAGAGCAGGAATGAGATACTGTTTCTCTGTTAAGTTTATCCCTCTTGAAAACTGGATGTACACTGTTGCAAGGAACAATGCTTGCACAGAGAAACAAATGGGAGCTGAAAATTTTACTTCTAACATCAAACAGGTGTTCTAACAGACTCATATTTTAACACTTCATATCGCTACAAGTTTTCTGGCTAAGTATGAACAACAGAAAAAAAAACCAAGGCATCTGAGCTCATCCTCTAGCAAAATCTGCAAATATGGCTGATGCTGCCCTAAAGTACTGAATTCACAGATGCACTGGTAAGCTATTTCTGTTATTTTAGCACTTTGATTCTAAATGTCGTATCACCTCCATATTACAAATTCACCATAGTCACTGTAGACAAAACACTTTTGCATGCATCTGGGATTTTTTGTTTCAACTCGGCATCACTAATCTCCCATATGGACAGTTGAGGCTAAAACACCCTTAGTACTTTAAAGTACTTTCTCTAAATATTTCAAACTAACGAATTACAAATTTGTTTGTGAGTGGTCTTCATGCTCAGCTGTTGGAAAACATCACCCTTGCTTACGCTAAAGATAAACCACTGACCACATCTTGTATTTATGTACTTTTGTCCATTACAGAAGCAAATGAGGCTTTTAGCTAAGCCTCTTGTAAACCTAATTGGCTTCTTTATATACCTCAGTAACAACTATTACTTAGAATCCTTTATAAGCCAGTTAACACTGGCAAGACTTCTCAGTCCAAAATTTTGGTTTCTTTTTATAACATTGGAGATTTCATGGCAAAAAGAACAACAGGAAATAGGCGGCACAGCAGACCACAGGCCTCCATAGTGCATCTGTTCACAGAAAAGAAATAATCAACCCTGCAGTATTCTGCGTCCAGTTGATATTGATAACTGCAATATTCCCTGTACTCACAAGTTCATTTGGACTGAATTGTGAAAATCTGGTGCTACACCTTGGCAACTGCATGTGCTGGCAAACCCTAGGAAGAAGCTTTTAAAATATATACTGTTCCTTTAAAAACTTTTATGTATACGGCCAACCTTCTGTGGACAGAATGTGATGTCCAATCCATCAGAAAATCACCATAATAGTGTAACAAACATTTCCTCTGGCTTATATATACAACAGAAAACCTACTTGCTCTATTTCTTACCTCTCCAGTCCTACATGAAAGAGGGATTTTTTTTCCCCCCCAAAAAAGCAGAATTGGTTTTAGCAAACATGAAGAATCAGGATAAAATGAAAAGTATTTCATTACAAAGAAAAAAAAAAGGGGGGGGGAGGTGGCATGCTCTGATACCTTTCAAGGATGAATACATTAGCTGAAAGAAAGTTTCTGCAGGGTCAAACACATCCAAAGGTATTCCTCACCATTCTGTCTGCCAGTTACTACATTTTATCTCCTCTTACTTGACAGTGATGAACATTAATATAAATTGCTCAACTTCCAATAACGTTTTGCCTGACCCAAACCTTTCTGCCATCTTTTTTTTTTAACAAAGACAGTATATAGCAATATCTTCAAGCTGTTAAATTTATTACAGTGTAGAGAAACAACTTTAAAATTCAATGCTAATCAACAAACTCCTATTACTTAAAGAAGGCAACTGAAAAATTTGGAATGAATAGACTTAGCAGTGGAAACACTGCTCAAAAAACAGGAAAAATATGGAAAAAGTGGGAGAGTAAGAAAGTCTAGGAATAAGGAGAGAAAATACCGGGGGAAAAAATACTGAGCCAGTTGTAACAAAGTGTGCATCTTTGAATAAGGTTAGATTTATGTTGCAAGGAACAAAAGTTTACAATAATTTATTCTGAACTTTGTTATTCAACAATGAAAATCTGGTAATAACAATACAAACCAATTTTATAGCTTTTCTTCTGAGTTCCCATTCATTCCATTCGTAGGATGTCACAATAGTTGGAGGCAAGATATGAGTATCAGTTTGAGTACTACTGTCACATTTTGTGGTTGGTTTCAAACATTTGTCTGCATTTCTGGCCTGGATGAAAAAAACCACCAAAACCAAGCAAGGCATTAATGAGAAGAATACAAATATGTAAGAGAAACAGCATACGGATATGCTACTTTTTAAAAGCAAAGAGAAACCTGCAAACCACAAGTGGATAACGATTTTTACATCCAACAATATTTTTGTTTCCCCTGCCCCCGCTAAAAAGAAGAAACCATTAAGTATTTGATGGATTTAATTTCTGACAGAAAACCCTTTAGGCAGAGGCCACAGCTGAATTTCAGGCTCCCACATCCTGAGTGAGAGCTTAATAATTGGATTTAGGTAAAAAGGGGTCCCATCACCACCACCAATATTTTATGGTGCAGGCACCTCAGTTTGTCTTTATGAATGGACTAAAAATCACAAATCATGATTAGGAGAAGTGCTTACAACTCTGCCAGAGCCAGGATATAAACTGTCTTTCTCACCAAGGGCCTGTTCAAGACTACATTCTTTCCATTGCTAGGGACCTAGAATTCACAGTGGATCACAGAGCACGTCTATGAATCCAAATCAAGTCTTTGGATTTCACATAGTAGCACTGTTGCATTCATTATTAATGAGTCCCCTTTAATTTTGTAATATTTCCATAATTCCTGTCCCCAGATATTGTTACACTCTCATCCAGCACATACTGATGAACTGCTAAACTGAAGTTCCAGTTAATACGGTATCTGGCTTATCTTCTGTTCCATTTATTTACTGTCCCTTTAAGCTACTTTTGCAAAAATGAGGAAAAGAAACCATCAGACACAGGATCTTCCTAAGCCAAGGACAAACAGCTTTTATCACTGCCACAATCCTTTAGCTCTACATATTCTCCTATGAAGACATAAGGTGATAAGAACATAAAGGGAAAATGTTTTATTATCAACGCCTTGAAGACCTGGAAAAGAGAGACCTTCAGACATTCTGTAGGATAGGCAGATGATTATACTTCTTTCCTAAAGACAGGTATCATCTGTTCTCTTTATGTTCTAGAAAGGACAGATCAACCAGTGACCCAACAGCTGTTTAGCATGAGGCATGGGCAATGTGTACCTGCGCATAAGGAGCAAAGTATTCAACCTGATGACGAAGCTCAAGCAGTTGAATTAGCTCTGCATGTTCTTTTGCTTTTTCGATGTTCAGTTGAATGAACTTATCCGGATCTTGAGCAAAGATGTATGCAGCTTCTTTGCAACTGAAAACATAACATCTCTCCTTGTGCTTCAAAATTCCAATAGCGGGATTTCCTAAAAAAACCAAAACAAACCCCACAAAATAAAATAGCAAACAGTATCATATCCAATACAAAAGACATTTGTAATCAAGATTCTGTGTTTCCCTCAAGTCAGTTTCACTTCCTTTTTTCTGAAATCAGAATAAATCCCTGAAAGTAAGCTTTTTTAAATACCGAAAAGTCTGTTTTGTTAGGTCAGTACAGCTGCTTTTGATCAGTTCACATCCAGCATGCCTTAGTGCATGTTTGTCAGAAAAACAACAGATAAAACACCTATAGCAAAGGCATAACAAAACAGCCCATACACACAAATGTTTTCCCTATGATCTCCAGCAAATACTTGATTGCAGATCAGCAGTTCATTTATACCAAAGGTCATAACACTGAAATTAACTGAAGAAGCAGATGAAGCAGCTGAGAAGCTGGACAATGAATTAACAGAGAAAATGAAATGTTAATAAAGGCCAAATAACTTATATAGGAAAACAAAAATTGAGCTCAAGGACACTGGCAGGCTCTGCTTCAGCTGTCATTGCCCAGGAAAGACCTAGAATCATCACAGACAGTGCCCTGAAAATACTACATGGCAATACTCAGTGGCAATCAAAAAAGCAAAAAGAATGTCAGGAATTATTAGGATGCAAACAGAGGTGGAGAAGAAAACCAACATTATAACAACCTATATGCTACATTTGTAATACTACATTTTGTTCCAACACAACAGAATAAGAAAAAGTAAAATGAAGAGAGTTGGGAGTGATCAGAGGCTTGGAATATCTTTCACAGAAGGAGGGGTTAAATAAAGAGGCCTCTTCAGCATTAAAAAGAAGCAACTGAAATGAAGTAATATGATACGGGGTTATAAAACCATGAATTGCATGCAATATAAAATTACTATTTGCTAATTTTCCTAATAGAAAGACTATCAGGTCTTTGATGAAATTATCAAGCCAGAGCTTAAAACCATCGCAAAAAGAGGTACCTTTTCATAGTACATATAATTACAATTGCAGGTCTCTTGACAATAACAATAACCCATGGCAAACTCTAAATGGATTCAAAAAGCAATCAGATAGATGAAAAACCTCTATCAAGGATTATTCAACAGAAGGTTACAGACTCAACATTTATCTGAGGAAATCCCATAACCACTAATTGCTAGAACAGGGAAGGATATAATTAAGGAAGGATCATTCCTACTTGATTTCTCATGATCTTCAAGTGTTCATGACTGTCCACGTCCAGAAATTGGATACAGGGCTAGATAGACCTTCAGTCCAACCCAGGACAGTTGTTCTCATATGCAATACTACATAAGTGTAAGTAATTTACACTGCCACTAAAATACCTATTTTTTAATACGGCTAAGTAATGGCAGTAGTTTCCTCCCAACCTCCTGTAGGTTTAAAAAAATTCTATATGGATAGGTTCTATAAAGGATAAAGGATAGGGAGACAGAAACCATGAACTGATGGGGTAGCTGAAATAAGGCTTGCTTTCAAGACAAATGACCCTAGAAGAGACCAAAAAATTTCCTATGATTAGTTGACTTAATCAAGTGCACTTTCGTGTTCTTTTCAGAGAAGATTTTTAGTACTTTATAACGACTATTTAAAAATACATATGATGTAGGAATGAATGGGTGCATTTGCAACACACGGATACACAAAACAGAAGGAATGACCATTTTCCTATGCCTGTATTAAAACACACTAACAACAGTAAACGAACCTGCATTCAGCTGCAGTGTAGGTTATACAGATGCACATATAGCAGGAGGAAACATTTATCCATCCCATCTTGTTTCTGCCTCTGCTTGCTCATGCCTACTTTCTGTTGAAGCCCTCCTACCCTACATTTAGGGCAGTTTATTTGTGTGTTTTTAAAAGAAAAATACTTTAACGGGGAAATAAGTTATCTGGGGTGAAAATTACAAACATGAAAATACAGTACTCCAGCTTTGACGTAAGAGGATGCATTCAAAACATGTCTTTCCATTTCCCCTAGTACTTGTGTACATATAAACTATGGGAAAGACCTAACTACAAACCATACCTGGGAGGGTGAGGCCTCTCACACCAATTGCATGTGCACAGAAACCATGGTACTGGATTAGCAACTGATCAAAATTATCAGTAGTCTCTGGAAAAAGCCATTCTTGGTTCTTGAAATCAGAAACATTCACTCTGGTTCCTAACAAAAGGTTTAACAAAGGAAGGATTTCAGTAACAAAACATCAGATGTTTATAATGATGTTGCAGGATGACCAGATTACTCTGGTCTTCACAGGGTGACCTGCAGTGCAAAGATCCCAAAAGCCAAACTTTAGCCCTGTCTTAAGAGAGATCCTACTGAAAAATCAGTCCTGCAGGAGCCTTCTTTAGTAGCAATAGCTTTCTTTTGGAAAGCTTTCTTTCTCCCCCACCATATAGGGGACAACAACAGGAAGGTAATACCTTATTCTTCTATTTTGTTTTCACCCACTCATCCATTACTCCCCTGGAGTATAACTTGGTTGCTAGGGTTACCATCTTACAAATAACTTCCAGTAACCAAAGCCTTGTTAAATTAGCTTTTTTATTCCCCCCTCCATTTCAGAAATTCTGAAAGGTATAAAAACACATAGACAAACTTAAGAAATTTAAAAAAAAGTAGAAATATTCTTCTCTCATCATTCTGCCTTTTTTTTAAGGTATGTTTGTATCTAGTAGCTATATTTTAATTTTATATATATAAATAAAAGCCCAAACTACACTACATGAAAAATAAATCCACATACTACAACACTCATTTTAATTTACTCTGCAAATTCTGATTATTAAAAAATCAATGTGTAGCACCCTCTGTAAAGAAAATTCAAAGCACAATATCTTGGAAAATGAAGGAAAATTAAAAAGTAATAACTTCCAGTACCCATGGTTTCTCTTATCCTTTCCTCATCACTTTTCACAGTCACTCCTTCCAGAAGAGAAGTTAGCACTTCCTCAGGAAAAAGCTGTGATTGGATTTCCGAGAACTGTTGCAGATTGTTAGTCATATCTGTGAGGAAGCTTAGCAGTAGTATCTGATCCTGAAAGCTGGTCCAGAGGTTAGAAAGTGCAACAAAGAGAGGCTAGAAAATAAAGAAAATTATCCAAAATCCAGATTTGTTTTATGTCCACAGTGTAACCCAAGTGCTGTGCACAACAATCCCTGCTATGAACAAAGTGGGGCTGACCTCCAAGGCCTTCAGCATCCAGAAATTCCAGGGGAACTCCTGGGCTTTGTAAGAGGAGCTCCCATCACATATGCCCAAAGCACGTACGTCCAGCATGTAGGACCATAGGCCAGTATGGTACTTTTCTACATTTTACTCCAAAGCCTTTCCTAAATACGTTACTCTGAGCCCATGCTTGGAACTGAGCACTTCACTGACAATACAGTTTTATAACTGAAAATAAGGCATACAGGAATAAGAAGGACCAGAAGAAATGCACCTGGTTAACTACCAAATGAAGTAAAACCACATCTGCATGTACAAACCTATCAGATTTTGTTATTTTGTCTGCCCTGCTTCCAGAGTCACCTCTGGAATTCATCAGCATCAGTAATGCTGTGGAAATGTTACGGTTACAAAAATGGAAGAAACTAAAGGAAGGGCAGCAAGATCAAAATAATTCTTACTAGAATAAACAAAGAATTTTAATGAAATCTACTCTGTTTCCTAAAACAAAAGTTTACCACAAAGTTAGGCGTTATGCTACGCTTTTTGAAAGGCAGAATGCCCTGCTTCTCTACATGTGTAGAGGACCCAGCTTCTCAGCAACTAGCTGAAGACAAGAAGAACTATTTAAATGGAGTGTTAATACAGAAATCTCTACCTGTGAAAGACCTGAAATCAAAAGAAATCACATATTCTGTCTTCAGCAGAGAAGAAAAAACAACTAACCAACCTGAAGGGGGAAGAAAATCTAGGAAGGAAGCAGACAACAGCAGACAGCTTCTAGGGAAAAGGGTAACGTGTATCAGTCACTTAAGCCCCATGAAGATATAGGAGAAAAAAAACTGCTTTAAGCAGCTGGACAGGAGAGGAAAATGTTCCCCAAATGAGAACGTCTGGCTTATAAAATCACAAGCACACATAAACCGAAGTGTCAAATCACATCTGAGGTGTACCTCAGTTAAAGTGCTGTTCCCATGAGTTTCCAGCTCAGATGCCCTCATGGGAGGCGTAAAAAACACTCCAGGTAGGTGGTGGGGGCATGATCTTCCTTCCTCCCTCCTCCACAGTAGACTTTATTTTGCTTTCTAATTATTTGTTTAGAAGGATGAAATAAAACCTAACATATGTATGAACTGCATGCTAGTTCAATGGCTAACTACAAGGAATTAAAATGATAGACATATCACACAAAATAATGAGCTCTTGCATGAAAAGCAAATTAAATGAAGCTGGTTTCTGACATATTTCTCCCCCGTTTCCTTTACACCATGTCATCATAATAATCCCAGGTTTTCACACGGTCATCGAGCACCCTCCTTCACAACCTGCAGTTCGCACCACTCATTCCCTCTTCCTCCAACACCTCCCTCCCATGTCCTGTAGCTCCCAACTAAGGGTGAAACAGTACAGAACATCAATCGTGCAGAGGTACGTGGCTGCTCACTGGCCACACAGCACACTAACCAGCAGGTAATTGTGGCATTCCCATTTCAGACTTAATCTTAGGAGGGCTCTAATTGTGTCTCTCTAGTTGCTTGTTTTTCACAAAACTTGCAGAAAATGAAATATTTTGAGATCTCTGGACTCTGACAAATTCAACTGAAACTGGCCAACAGGTTCAGAAGCTATTGGGAGGGGCAAAGTGGCTGAAACCCCCACCACAGAAAGCTGATTTCTTTAGAAAAATTATGTCAAGGAGTCATACTGTAATTACAGGAATTGCTATCTGAAAGGACTAAAGAGAACCACACTCTGATGTGCCATTATCTGTTATCATTGTGTTCTTACTACTTCTGCAAGGAACAGGAGAATGTTTACACAAACCAGGAAAATATCACTGTAAATCTACAAATACTGACAAATGACTCAAGACACTTAAAATAACATTTAATTCTTTCCCCCGCGCCTTTGTACCTTGCTTTTCTTTTACCTTGAGATCAAGTCTTTTAGTTTAGTTGCCCCTTTAAAAATCAGAGATGGTGTTATAATAGAGAGAAAATAATGTAGCCTTTTTCTTAACACAAACTATACAAAAATACACTGGTATTTTGTAATACTTAAGTAATTTTTTATAATTAAGAAGAAATAGGTTTTCCATTCAAAATACTTACAAAAACTTCTTTGGTATCTATGGAAACCTTATTCTGCACTGTGTTTTTCAACTGCTCCACTGTCGCTACAAACTGCACATTCATCTTTTCAACTTCTTGAGCACTTGTAATTGCATCAGACTGGAAAGAGAACTTACTTCAGGTAAGAAGCATGACAGTCAAAAAACCAAGTAATTAGTAACAAGTATTTACTTGGATCTTTTCATTCAACTATTTTCAGACAACTGTTTTAAGGAACGAAATGCACCCTAACTTTCCACAAAATATATTTTTCCTTAAGTGTTCAGGTACAAAACCAGGTGCTTCTCTCAAATATATACTAGTAATTTTTATAGAAAACCTCTACATTTTTATAATGAAGAGAACTGAAACAAATTGAGAATAAAATATTTTTCCAAGCTTTATAATATACAGGAAAAACAAATTAAACCCTGCAGTTTCTCAAAAGACAAATTAAAAGGTCTTCATAAGCAAAACAAGTTTCAAGAATTTAAATTGTATTCTTCAAAGACTTCTGATGACTCCATATGAGTTGGGGATGTCTGCAGACTAAAATTGAGGTGATTTATGGATTGAACAAGGACATTTTTTCTCTCATGCCTTTTGGGGCAGAGTGAGTATCAGTACGCAAGCAAGGAAGAAGTCCTACTTTTTCAGTCCTTTATTAATGAAATTAAACCAAAAAAGGAAACCTCCAGAAATTAAGTGGAAGCACAGTCACACTGCAGCAAACAATTAATCCATTTTGTCTTTTAGCTGACAGTAGCCAAACCCAACAAGTTAGGTCCAAAGTTCATCATGACAGATGATGTAGATTCTCATATATTGAGATAATATGATTTCACTGATGTCTGAATAATTTTTCTTATATTTCTGTCCTGTACAAGTAGGTAACTTGAATACATTCAATCTGAAATAAAAACCCACAGGATATAACATGATGGTATCTCACCAGAAGGATGCAAAGGAAGGCCTCATATTGTCTCACATTGAACAGTGCTTCTTTTAATTTAAAAGAACTAAGCTGTGTATATCTGTGTTGGTCTTCCTGCATGGATTCCAACAGAGCTGTGTACTGGTGGGCTAGCTTATGGCAAGTATTAAGACTTTCATCAACAGCCCGGGTAGCTGATGGAATGGCTTCATTCAGAATGGCTGGCACTTTTGGTACAGAATAAATGAGATACATGTAAAGAGAATTATTTAAATCATTAGCAAAAGATTACAGTGCAGTATTTGAGCAAAGCAGACTTCCAACAAAATTTCTAAGTCTTGTCCTTATATTCATGCATTTCCAAATGCTTGCATACTGGATTCAACCGCTGTATCTTACTAGTCGAGAGGTTCCAAACAGTCAGAATTACAGGTGTGGAAATATCACAGTCAAGTCAAGGACTGTGAGAAAACTTGCTTCATAGTAGATGCAGTTCAGTTGATGCTACTGACATGGGTTTCCTGAGAGACTTTAGGCAATCTGCACAATTTTCAATTCTTAGTTTCTTCTAAAACTGGGCTGCAGACCTTTCTTACAAAGAAGTCTCCACACTGAGTTACAATACTACATGCACATTCACAAAAACATTTCCACTGATGAGGATTCAAAATCCAAAAGATTTCTGAGAACATGTTAAGAATCTGAAGAGGTTACTCTAAATTATCAGAATACACATAATGCCCCAGCAACTTCTATCACTTCTCATTACACATATGCAACACAAAATTGTAATTGAGTTGATAGTGTTCTTTCAAGATTTTAATTAAGTGCTTTTAAAGGCAAACATTACATATTTAATTCACTTAATGGCAAGGGATCAGGGAAGAGTTATCATGAGGTAAATTAGTGCATGAAGTTAATACACATAACCCTTCCACATCAACCACATAGGGCTCCCTCTTAGCTAAAAAGTAGCAGCCTACACGGAAACCTGTAAGTAAATACAAAATATGTACTTTTCCTTCAGGTTTTCAGACCCTGAGTCAAAGCTGTTTATCTAGAGATGGGATATTACTGGAGCCGCTCCAGTGAAGAAGGCCAGGAAGAATTAATCTGAAATACACAGCCCAAATGCAGTTGTCTACTTACAGTCATCAATGCTGCTTCCTCCTTTCCTGCATTCCTTGTTGTACAACCGAATTCCTGTGACCAGCATGGCAAGATTTTTCAGCTGTTGCTCTTTGTTCTTCTTACTGAGTGAGATGAAAGTAATCATCTCTGTCTGGGGGAATACACTCTGCAAGGCAGCTAGAAGCATTACAAAGGGTAAGGAAATTCTCAATATCAGGGAACAAAAAAGAAAATCATTAACAAGCAAAAATACCCTCTCCTGAACAACTGCAGAAAGTAGGAAATCCATGGCAAATTTAGGCTTCAAAGTTGAGCAGTGACAGTTTAGGTAGTAAGCATTCATCACAGTTTACCATATCTGTATCTAAAGATCAGCAAAGAAAAGGTAAAATGTTATTTTTCAATGAGAAAAGCCCAATTTCACAGCTGGGAGTTTACTGACCTGTTACCTCCCTGACAACCTCGATATCTGTTGGCGATCCCAGGCCAGACCTTAGCAGCACATAGCTCACAATCTTTCGATACACATTCTCCACTTCTTCTTGCACACGAGGACAACTATCTGTGATATCTCTGACCACAGGAGCCAGCCTTCCCTCCAGAACACGGTGCTGCTCACTGAGTAATTCAGCTAGGAAAGAAGGAATGTTAGGAAGCGCTATTTAAATTCCTTGGAATTTGGCTTATTCAGAGGGTGCAATTCACTTCCACAGTCAGAGCACCAACTTAAGGTTTCCGAAGCACAGACAGGTGGAAGAGATGTTAATTATAAAGTTATGGTACCTTGAACAACAGTGGAGTTAAACATTAACATAATTAGCATGATTAACATCAGTCAGTAGAGTCCAGGGAACTATTCAGGCCTAATTAAGCAGGCTGTCTGGACTCCTCTGGCTGCAGTAGGACCTAACACACACACACATTTCATACACACCTGAAGTTACATACACAAATCTGAACACTACCCAGGATCTCAGAATCTTACTGGACTTATTGAGCTTACTGAGTCCAGAAGACTGCAGAGCAGCTTCCTAGTTTTGCTAATTTTTGGTTTTAATCCATGGTAACAAGAAAACATTTTCATGACCTCCTCACACAGAAATGTTTGTCTGCTCTTTCTGTCTTCTGTTTCCCAGCAAGCCCTCACTGTCCCATTGAGATCTGAAATTACAGCAGAGACATTCTCCCCATCATTTTTCTTCCACATTCCCATTCTCAGACCATATGACGTTACCACGGATGAGACCAAAACATACTCGGTTAAAACTGCAACTAATTGTTCAAGATTGCTCATATCTCTCAATCAGGGATATCGATAAAACATCAAGTTCCCTTTCAGATATGTAAGTGCAGTTTTGGGTACTGGTTCTCTTTCAGATACATAGGTGCAGTGCAAGTTTTTCTTGCAGAAGGCAGCTAGCCACTGCACCTGAAAGCATAGCTGTTCTCAAGCGATCTAATACATTACATCCAGTAAGTCTCTCAGACAGGATGAGTGTACTCTCAAATATAATGCACATTTTTTCCCTACTATATCATTACTGAAACACCATACTCCTATATAGTACATTTCTCCAGGGATTTTTATTTTGCTTTACTGCCAGCAGTCATTTAACGGGAATCATTATTAGCCCTACACAGAGAGATATTAAATCCTAAACTCAGCATCAACTTCTATGAAAACATATTTGACATTACCTCTGTTTGCATAGTTCATATCAAAGTAAACTTGCATCTTAATTGTGCTCAGGGATGGGTTTGTTGTGTCAAGCAGCCTGGTAACACAGAGCTGAGAGAGACAGAGAAGTGAGTTCTTCCTCATCAAGAGGGAAAGGTCTGAACTGACAGTGACTATGCTACAGGTTTCACAACAGCAGTAGAGCCCCCTCCCTATCATTCTCTTGACATACTACAAACACTATGAAGTATAAGGCATTTACTAACATGAGGGAACACCTACTCCAGTCTTTAGCTACAGAACCATGAGAATAAAGTAGGGTTAATATTTTGAAAGTGTTCATATCAAAATAAAATGGCATTTTAGTTACAGGAACAGGTAGCAAATAATGCTATAGTCTTAGCTAAGTACTGACTCTCAACATCGTGTCAGAATTACCTGGGTAAGATTTTGCACTTCTTTTTTTGTAAGGATTTGATCCACACTGAAGTCATTTCTTGGATCTAAAACAACAGCTTTCACCTAGTGATTGCCAAAAGAAAACAATTTATATCTCAATATATACTGTTTGTAACTAACCTTTTGTTTTCTGAAAAATATTAATCCCATTTATACTACCTGGCCCTCCCTAAACAGAGAAACAAAAGAATCCATCACAATAGAGGGAAGAGATAAACATCAAAGAATAAATATAGCTGCTGCAATAAACATTCACCTATGCGTCATGTCTTTTTGTTCATTTATGAAAGTGGGACGAAATGTTATTAAAACTTGGGAACACTTCTCATTTTCATTTTAGAAAGAAAAAAATGGTTTATCTGCCTGTTAAAGAAAACTGAGGGGGAACTCTGAGTCAGAGCTCAAAGAGTTCCCAGGACTCAGAACCTGCAGCCTTTTGAGGGCCTATGCCATCGCATAGATGGCGTTTCAGAGGAATGAAATACTTTTTCAGGTTTTTAGGACCCTATACTGAATATCACTGAACGCCCCTTGAAAACTTCCCAATGTGGGCTATCAGAAACCCAGACTTTTCAAAGTTCAACTCACCCCTGAAAGCCTCGGCTGTTGCCATCCCAGCCTGGGCAGGCTGCCATGGAGCTGCCATTTGAAGTTTGTTGACTTTTAAGAGCAAAGGAATGTTTATGTCCTTGGTTCACATCATTCAGTCAGAGCTGCATCAGTCAGTGACTTCGAGGGAAGATGTAAAATTATGCCCCTACCTCATGAAAGCCTTAAAAACCGGTTCGAACTGCCAAGCTATGGGCACCCAGGTTTGAAACTTCTGATCCGTATGCTATCAATACATATTTATCTTAATATTTTACAGATGACAACAGAATTTGAAAAACAGATTAGAAAAACACCCAGATGAAATAATAATAACCCCCCCCACCCCGAACATTGAATTTGCGCTTACCAGGAACGCCACCAAGGTTTCAGAAACGGTTTGTCCCTGGGCGGCGCATTCTTGTCCGATTTCGCGGATTATTTTCTTGATGACACTTTCGGCCTGGTCACAAGACATACTGGACAAACACACAGGTTAACGGGGTTAACTTTTATTTAAGATTTCGGGTGCGTCTCTCAACGTTTCTCCTCAAGCGGCTGAGGGTCGTCCCCCCCCTCGCCACCACACGGCCGGCCAGGGCGGGGGGGGGCC